GGGGCAGCTCTGCCTGCCCGCCTGCGTCTATGCGAGTGTCTTTCCGCTCCTGTCTCTTTCTAACAAACTCCCTCTTTAAACATAACTGGGTCTCTGTCTCGTGGAGCATCTCGCCGCGTGCCGCTGGAGGGGAGCTCTGGTGAGACCTTTCCCAGAGGGAACCCAAGGACCCCGCAAAACACGGCATCGGTAACATCAACATTTCAGTGACTGATCCCTCAGCGCTTTCATTTCTCAGCATCAGCTCTGAAATCCCTGCTCTCTGGCACACTGGACTGGACTTAGGGAGGCCCACTCGTCCCCAGGGGCCTGGTCGCTGCTCCCCATCCCCACGCAGGGAGGGCCTGGACTCCACTGCCCCTGGTTTCTGGGCCCAGCACCTTCCAGCTCCGTCCTCTTTGTAAGCTGCCTGTTCCCTCGGGCAGGTCCAGGTGACCCCACCCTCGGCCTCTTCCACACCCTTTCTCAACCTGTCCTGGGGGTTGGCTGATGACCCGGCTCCCCCCTTCCAGCCTGAGGACTGCCCTCCAAGGAGACCCCCTGCAAGTGCCCCCCTCAGCCTCATGCTCACACTGCCTCAGACCTACCAGCGGGCCAGCAGAAGTCCCTTGGCCAAGCCTGTGTGGGTCCTGGAAACTTTGCCCTGGGCTACACTAATTTCTGCAGCTGCCTTCACCAGGGCCGCCCTCCTCTCCCTCAGGTCCCTGGAAAGGCGCCTTCCTCCCGTGCCCCAGCTCGGGCAGCAGAGTGACTTGTTTGGGGGATGCTGCCTTCTCCGGAGTTCTCTTGTTTACTTGGGGGGGTGGGAAGTCCCAGCTTTTTCTGACACAGCATGCAGATGCGTGCACCTCTACACTCATGCAAAGTGATCTCAAACTACACCTTTAGATTCTCTGGAAGTTGGATCACTATGAATTTCTTGTCAACATTACTTTGCAATTCCTTATCGCCCCCCCCCACCCCAGCGCCCGCCCACGCTTAGCTCTGTCTCCTTAGTTAAGTCATTACTATGAAATTTATTTTTCCCTATACGTGAATTAAAACACATACATGAAGGCTAAAATTATTAGAAAAGTGTTGATTTTCTCTGGGGCTTAACTTGCATTTCTCTTGTCGCATTTGAGCTCTTAACTTTAATCACTACCACCTGCCTCCAGCTCATTTTTTACATTAACGTGTTTGCATTTCTGCTGAAACCACTTCTCCTGCCTGCTGGGTCAGGCACCGCACTCTGCCACCCATGGTGCCCAGGAGACAAGACATCCCAGGAGGAGCGCCAGCCCTCCAGCCCGAGACAGACCTGTGACAGCCGCCACCTGCCGCGGCCCAGGTGACTCTCCCCCACCGCGGTGACGGGTCCCTGCTTCCTCCGTGCACCAGGCCCGGCGCATGCACGTTCTGGCCCTTGGGATCGTTCTGTGACCAGCGACCTGCCCGCAGGGGGTTCCTTCCCTCGAACCCCTTCGTTGGCGGGTGCCCACAGCCTGCAAAGGCTGCACACTCTTCTCTCCCTGCGTGCCAGGCAGCCGAGAACTCTCTGGCCTCCCTCGGCCTCGTGCTGAGCCCCTGGCTCTTCCCGGGACTCAGCGGAGCTCCAGGACTGCCCGCCTGGCTGACCCTTCCTCTTGGGGGGCTGCCAGCCAGCCTGGTTCCCTTGCGGTTTCAGTTCTGTTTAATTTGTGCCTGGTGCTGGCATTACCCTCATCGGCATGACCGAGAAAACCGAGGCTGGGGGCGCTCCTGATTGATTCTCACAGACAAAAAGAGACTCTCGGCGCCCTAGCAGACTTTACAGGCTTCCCGCACCGAGTCGGGGGACGGACCAGCCGGCAGAGACAGCAGCAAAGCCCAGCAGCCTCGGCGGGAAGCTTCCCCCCACCTTTTTTTTTTTTTTAAATAACATTAATAGTTTATTTTTACATCATTTCGTGCCCTTTTCCATCTCAGTTGTAATCCCCGTGGGCTTCCCATCACCAGATCACCCTGTGCCATCACCATACCCCAGTACACTTTCCCCTTCCCCCATTTTTGATCCCATCCCCACTCCACCTCCATAAAATGACTCTGGTACATAGTTGCTCATTAGTATTATTATTTTCTCCCCTGGTCCTTTATATTCCTGCTAGGAATGAAACCATCGGTATTTTCACTTTTCTCTCTGGCTTATTTCACGAAGCCTGCTCCCTTCCAAAGCTGCTCCCTTTCGTGCTGTGCTCTGAGCACAGGTGTCTGTATTTACTCATGTCCTCTGCTCTCTGGGCTCAGGTGCCACACGTGCCCAGGCCCACGCCTCTCAGCCCCAGGCACCCCGTGGCAGGCTGTAAGGCTAGGGGCAGGGAAGGTGGGGAATACCTGGTTTAAATTCATGTTCCCTGCAAAGGCGCGAAGAGGGTGAATTACTTGCCCAAGGTTGCAATGCTCCTGAGTGCTGGCGCTGGGACTCCAGCCCAGGGCAGCCTGGCCTGGACCCTCAACTTCCTGCCTCCTTCTGCAGCCAGAGACCGCTTTTCTGTGCACCCTGGGGAGGGAGGAGTGGGCTGTGCTGTCTCTGGGCTGGATCGCCCAAGGGTCCGTGGGAGGGAAACCCACCAGGTTGCAGTGGGAGTCCTGCCAGCTGTGGGCTGACTTGGGGTACACTGTGGGGTACACTGTGGGGCATCATTATAACAGCCCGTCCAGGCCACTGTGGGGTAAAAGAAGTGTCTGGCCTTGTTACGCCCGTCCGCCACTAGCCTCTACGGCGGCCTCCTCCCCTGACTGCGGATACCTGGGCCCGGGAGCAGGGTGGGCGTGCGGAGGCGGGAACACCAGCGCCTAGGAGGGAGGGGACAGGGGGTAGAGTCACTCTGGGGGTTGGGGAGCTCCCTGCTGGCTGGTTTCTCTTGCTCACTATAAGAACCTGTGAAGATGTTGCCGAAGGCTCAAAAATTCTCTTTTCAGCTGCTGCAGGTACAGAGAACGTACCGGCCCGATCACCGCCCTTTGGGGGGGGGGGGCGTGTCACAGTTGCTGGGCGGTCTCTAACCACAAGAATCTAAACTTCAAATTCACAGGCTTGCTGGTCCCAACCTTCCTCCGGCCTGGGCAGTCTTTGAACCTACCCGATGCACTGAGAAATGCTTGAGAGCTTGCAAAGATTAGGATTTCAGTGGCGAGACCTCCAAAGAAGCTGAGGGCTCCCAGCCAGCGGCGGCCTGCCCGGGGTCCCTGGAGCCCACAGGCATCCCCAGTCCCTTGCTCCCTGCTTCTCCCAGGATGGGCCCGGGGTTGTTTCTTTCAGGAAGGAAGCAAAGCAGCCGCCTAGGCCAGGGAGCTCAGGTGTCTCGCAGCGGCTCCAGAGGTGAAACGGGTAAACTCCCGTGGCTGGCGCTGCCTTCCCATTGATCCTTTGTCCCTTGGGATAAACAGGAGATGCCTCTCTGAATAATGCATAGGCCCAAGGTGGAAACATGCAGCCTTTTTTTAATAAAAAGGCTGGGCACACAGAGTCGACTGTACCTCTTCTGCAAGGCGCCAGCAAAGACTCGGAGAGCGGAGAGGCTCTTTACAAAGCCGCGGACGATAGCCAGGTGAAAATGAACAGCCTTGTAACATTTTCAATCAAACAGTCAAATGTGTGGCTAATATGTGAAATTATTTATGAAGCTGTATTGAGCTACAAAACCCTCGTAAGGGGAAGGTGAAAGAAAATTAAGTAGCTGTAATTATAACGCACTTGGATTTATTTTTACAGCCGAAAGAACTGACTTGAGCTTTCTATCTATCTTCAGCTTTCTTTCTTTCTATCCAGTGAGCGCCCGCGAGGTGCTGGGGACGCCGCGAGTCATGGCATGGAAACGGCGCTGTGGTTCCTGCACAGGGGAGGCCCAGCCCCCTCACAGAAGCGCCAGGCTCTCGGGGGCTAAGCGAGAAGCGGCAGGATCCCCGGAGCGAGGCCAGGGCCTGACCCAGCTAGGGCGGACCTCAAGTGCAGGCTCGAGCGCCACAAACCCACCCGTGGGCACAGCTCAGCCCCAGCGGCGCTCCGCCATGTGGCTCTGGGACGCTCCAGAGAACATCGCGCACCAGAGACAAGACCAGCAGGAGTTAGAGAGGAAGCAGGTGCAGACAGCTCACGCGCGCCCCCAGACTGAGAGAGCAGGCAGGAGAACGCTGCCCCTGGCTCCCAGACAGAGCTCCTTCTTCAGGGCAGGCGCCACTGAGCGTGGACACGGGCCCGAGGCTGGCCACCCGCGGGCGGGTCAGCTTCACCCCAGGGCTCTTCGCGAGGCCAGAGGAAGCAGCGGCTTTTCCCCAGCTCCTCGGGCCTCGTCACTGCCCGCGATTCAGCTTAGTTGCTCACAGGCGGAGGGCTGTCAGGCAGCTGCGCCCCATCTGTGCTAACAGGGGCCCCCAGAGAGGCAGACTGCTCCCCCCCCCGACTGTGGGGAGGTGGGTGACTCCAAGGCAAGGGAGGGAGGTGCCTCAGTGGGGTGGGGGGGCAGGCTCTGGTCCGGCACCCAAAATAGCACACCTGGAGAGACCCCACCCCTCTGCAGGCGTGGAAACCGGCATGACTTACCTGGCATGACGCCCCCCCCCCCCGACAGATACCCTGTAGCCCACAGCTTGGAGCAAACTGGAATCTGAGGCTCCCCAAGGCAAGGGAAGTCCCAGCTCTGAAGGGCTCTGGCTTTTGGAGTGAAGCCTCCTGGTGGTGCAGCTCCCGGCCCCCACCAGGAAAGCTGCTACCAATATTGTAGAGACCAAGGTGCTGGCGAGAGCCCCAGGGCTACAGGGTGCCCGAGGCCCCAGCTCGGGCCCCCTCACAGGGAACAGGCCCCAGGCCGCCGAGGCTGAGCGCGCCCTTGCCACCCACAGACTGTGCCTGCTGGCTCCGCGGTGGGCGGTAGCCATGGCTGCATGGGCTGTTGGGCCAAGAGAGGGCTGGAGATTTCCTGCTGCTTCTGGAGAGCACCTCAATCTCAAAATGGGGTCCCAGCCCAGCTCCCAAGACTCACCAGCCGCTGCATGCTCTTCACATGGGTGGGGCTGATGGATAAGGCTTCTTCATACCACCGCCGGGCTTCATCGAGGTTTCCCTGCAGCTCGGCAACCTGGCCACGCATGTACAGGACATTGTGGGACATGGGGAAGAGGCTGGCAGCTTCTTGGGTACAGGCAGAGGCCTCGGCCGGCTTCCCAATGCCAACGTAGACCTCGGCTGGGAGAGAGCAGAGGCAACGGTTGGCTACTTCCCGTCTGGGCCCCCAGAATAGCTGTCACTGCGGATGGGGACTTTACGTTCCACTGTGGGACTTGGCGGGGGCCAGCTGGAATACAGGGGCTGAGCCAGCCAAGCCCCCACCTGCGTGCGTGCTCACAGCCCTTCATGGCCACTGCAGCACAGTGACCGCCACCGGTGCTGTGACCCCACCCCTAGGGGGGCCTCCCCTGGCCCCTGATGGCCACCCTTGGGACAGAGAAAGGGCCTGAGAAAGCCAAGGGCCAGAGGCACCCAGCTCCCCAAAGGGAAATGGCGCTGTGCTCGGGCCTGTCCTCTTAGTACCCGAAGGTGTGACGAGGGCCGCAGGCTGTGGCTTGCAGCTTTATGGGAATGAAATAACACAACTGCCCCATCAGCCACCCGCTCTCTGGCCAGGGGAGCCACAGTACCCTCAAGATGCCAAGCAGTGCAAATCTGACAAACCCCTTCAAAAGTCCACAGGCTTGTCTGAAATGAGCAGGGACCGGGCATCCCTGCAACCTCAGGCCGAGGCTCCCCCTCTGCAAGGAGAGGCCCCTCGTCTCTGCAGCGCTGGCCTCCCCAGTCACGACTATCCCCAGGCACACGAGTGCCTCTCTCGAGGGCCTCGCTGTGACCCCAGCGCCACCCTCTTTCCAGTGGCTGAGTCTTCAGAGCCGTGGTCTTCCCTGCGTGGTCCCTCAAGTCTCTCCTCGGTGGGTGCTGGACTCTGGACACCTGACCCCTGCTCCGATCCCGGGCAGCCCCTTTGCCATCTGCTCCTGCCTTGACCACTGGCTTCCAGCCCTGACAGTCAAGAGATGTTTGCACCCAGGGCTCTAAGTCTAATATAATGCACACAAAGAACAGAAGTGGTAAAAGAAAACAAGAAAAAAATGGAAGTTTTGCTATTTTGCTGGTACACTCCGAGCTGCCACTCGGCAACTCCACTTTGTCTCCCCAAACCTCTGTCCCTGCGGCAGGTCGGCCTCCTGGAGTCCATCATCCACCTGCTGAAACTGCTCCCTCGGCTGTGCGCCCTGCCTGCAGCTCCGGGGTTCACCCCTCACCTCCCACTCGCCCAGGGGGCCTTCCCGGCCCTCCTGCTTGCCAGTCTGCTGCTGCCCCTGTGGGTGCCACCAGCTCCGCCCCGCGTCCCTCTGGAAGGCGACAACAGGCTGCCATGGTGGGGAGGCTGCCGGTCGTCGCTGTGTCTCCAGGATCCGGCATGGCTCAGAGTAGGAAACAGGGCAGTTGACGGTAAAAGTAACAAGACCGTGGTTGTCATTCGTCACACGCGTGCCCTGCGCCAGGAAGTGCTCTCATTTCTGCTTTTAAGTGCACAGTGAAACGTAGGTGTGGCTAGTCCATACCCCCGTAGACCAGAGGACTGAAGGCAGGGATGCTCGGTGCTCTCTCTGAGGTCCGGGCACGGTAGAGAGGCCTGGCTGGGAGCCTGGGCTCCTGCTGTCCCCCCTGGCCCCAATAACCTCTGGACCCCTTTGCCCAGCTCCACTCTTCCTGCTCTGCCATGCTCAGATACACTTTCACTGATTCCGGAGTCTGCTTGTCACCCCCAGACGCTCTAAGTTCCGGCTCAGTCGCTACCACCTTGGATGCCATCTCTTAACCAGCCCCCCTTTTGCCGAAAGGGGCGCCCAGCCTCGGCAGCCCTGAGGCTGCGTCCCTAAACACCCTTTCGGGGTGGCGGGGGTGCTGGCTGCCGACAGCGAGCTCTGCTGCCATCCGTCTGTCCATCTCCCCACCTCCGGCTTCAGGCGTGGCGATGGTTAGTGGTTAGTGGCCGCAGCTGACTTCCGGGCTCAGTCAGCCTGGCTGGCCCTTCTCCAGCACCCTCACTTCCTTAGTGACCACATTCAACCTGTGGCCAGCCCCTCGGGCCAAGAGAAGGCCCTGTCCTGCCCTGCCTGTGCGCGTCACCCCTCTGCAGGAGCAGAGCTGATGGGCCCGCCCTGGCCAGGGGCCCGCAGGGAGGCGCCGGCGCCTCTGAGACACGGCAGTGCAGGGGCAGTTTGAACGCGAGGACGAGAGCCCAAAGCGGGCCACGCGGGCTGGCCGGCCCCACCACCTCCAGGGGCCACCTGCTCCCTGAGCGCCCACTGCACGTGACGAGGACCACACGGGCCTGCCCCTCGGCGTGGGCCCGGGCAGAACCCGCGTGTCCAGGAGAGGAGCCCCTCCTAGCCGAGCTCTGTGGTAACACAGCTCTTGGGGGCTCTGGCCAGGAGCCGGGCAGGTGCCCGCGGCGGTGTAAGGTTACCTGAGCGTGGCAGCGGCTCGGGAGAGCGGTACAGAATGTTCCTTTCACTGTACATTTGGCTCCTGACTTGCTCCATTTTGGGGGTGAGTTTCATGCACATTTCCAAGGTCCCCGGGCACAGAACTGCCTGCGGGTGGGTAAGACATCCTCTCAATCCCCATGGAGGAGGCTCACTTAGGACAGTGAGGGCTGAGCGCTTCCAGAAGCCCTATAACAAGGCTCACGGTGGGAGGGAACCCCAGACGCCAGCCTGTCGGCCCTGCCTAGGAGGGCCACCCTGTTCTGCGGGTCCTCCCTGACCGCCCGTGATGCTAGCCTCTGAGCAGTGTTAGCCGCGGCCACAGCCCCGAGGCCACGGTCCACTCACGTGACGAGGAAATGAGACGCAGGGCTGAGCCGTGACCGTGCCGGGGAGAAAGGACCAGTTCTCTGTGTGTCCCTGACAGAGACAGGCGGGAAAGCCTGGCTGGGGCCACTCCCTCGCCCCCCACGGCGGCTCAGGAGAAGGCGCTGGGCGCTGGGTAATGTGGTGCTTTTCAGCCATTTCCCAGCGGAGCTTCTTTTTTCCAGAGGCATTACGAGTCGGGGGCCTGCTTCTCTCCTGCTCTGGCCCTGTCCTGCCTTGAGGTGTGGCTGGGGCCCCAGCTCTAGGGAGCTCTGGCCTGGGCCTGAGCCTGGGCCCTGCGTGGTTTTGGGCAGGCCCGTCCACTATCAGATGGGGGGTCCAGCTCTCCCGGGGTGTGGGAGAGGGCCAGACAAGATGGGGGTTGCTAGAGGGAGCGGAAAATGACAAGGATAACGCTTAACCGAGCCTCACTCTCATGCGTGCGGAAGGAGCAAAGGAAGGCCGAGGGGGTAAATGACTCACTGGGTGCTGAGCACTGCCTGCCCAGGCCTTCTGGTTGAGAACTGGGTCTTGCTCACAATGGCCCGCCAGGATCCTCTCTGGCCAGGGCCTGGTCCCCTGGACATCTGCATTCTTGTGCAGGCGGCTCACGGCTCTGCCCGGGCCACAGGGAAGCCAGCGCTTTGGCTGGGGTGGTCAAGCCCGCTGTGCTGCATGAGTGGGCTTCACTGGGGTCAGAAGTCTGGCTCCCGTGGCCCATTCAGCCGCCCCAGGGACAGGGCTGGGGTCTTGAGCTCCACCTGCCTCCTCCTCCTGTCCATTCTCCTTCTCCTGCCTTAAATGGTTCAGAACTTGGGAGATAAACAGATAAAGCCTCCAAAATATGCCCGTGGCTGTTTTCTCCTCACCATATGAGCAACTACCCCAGTCGCGGTCATCTCTGCATGCCTTTGCATGGAGTCCAGCACTTCGGTGCTCAAGGACTGTGTGTGGCTTCACGAAGGGGAGTGAGAGTCTCCGGCAGAGGCCAGGAGGAAGGCCGGAGGCTGAGAAGCCCCAGCAACTGCAGTTTCCCTGACCCTTTCACCACGGGCTAAATTCAAGCTGAAAAAACAGACACACCCATGCCTTGGAGCTTATTAGGAAACAGCGGGGTTTGCACCAAAGGAAAGTGACGCTCACTCAGAGCTGATGGGCTCCTGTCCAGGCACTCTGCAAGGTCAACCCCGCTGCAGGGTCAGCTCTGAGGTCACACTCCACGAGGTCACAGAGAAAGATTCTGTCGTGGTCACGGGCAGCTGGCAGCCTCCAGCCAGAGCTAAGAGCCTCTCAGGGTCATGGACACTTGCTACCTCATCCTGAGAGCTCAGAATGAGCATGGACTTGGCTTGTCCTTGTCACCCTGAGCTCCAACTATGACAAGCACTGGCAGTAAAATGCTGCCTCTTTCCACCTCTTCCCCCCTCCCCTCCCACTTGCAAACCTTCAGTGGTTCCCTCCTGCAGGTGAATGCAACCCCGATGTTCTTGCTCAACATTTAAAATCAGGGCCCGCTGCCGCCCCACCCTCCCCTCTTTGTTCATGGCCTTGTCTCACTTCCCTGCTGGTGCCATCCCTTCTGCCCAACACGCCTGCCCTGAATCTGCTGAAGACGTCCTGCCCCTCATTCTCGGCTCCGCCGACCCCCACCAGGCACGTGAGTTCCCCAGATGGCTGGAGAACCTTCCCTCACGCTCCCCTTCTTCCATAGCCCTGTGCTCCCGGGAGTCCCTTGCCCGGAGGGCTGTGACATGACATGTGCATGGGCCTGGAGGGTGGGGTCCAGTCTGCTCCCCCCTTTGCACCGTGCCACGCCCCCAAGTCGGCCGGGTACGGGGGCTGTCTGACATCACCTGCTGAACCAAACCAAAGCCACGATATGAAAAGGGCGGAGCTGTGCAGTGAAGGCCTGAGAGTATTTCTTGTTCAAGCTGGAGGGGGGCTTGGTGCTGGAAGCACCCACAGTCCAGCAGAGGCTGTTTCGTGCAGCAGGTGCACGTTTCCTTCAAACCCGTGTCGAGCACCTGTTCGTGGCAGCCGAAGGTGAACTGGCTCCATCACGCCTGCCTGCCTGGGCAGGGCCAGGCAGGCTGCGCGCTGTGCAGGTGCTGGTGGGCTGGGCCCTGTGCTCATCTGCCCTGAGGCACGCGAGGACGCTCTTCTCCCACAGGTGCTCAGACAGCCACGCCTGTTCTTGGGGATTATTCCACCCAGAGGCGGACACTGCTTGTGAAACCCTCACTTGGGGGCAGCACGGGTTAGAGGCAGCACAGGCAGGACTGGGGCTGGGCGCTGCGGCTCGCACAGTTCTTG